TGCCAACCAGACGATTCCTCTGTAGCTGAATGGTATAACACGTCAGCCTATATGGTGATTTTGTGTATGACACAGTTTCGATTCCTGTCAGAGGACGAAACTTTTTCAGACATTCAGACCGTTAAATGTGGTTAAAACTGTTTCTTATAAACAGAGCATTTATTATTTGTGCCTATATAAATAACGTATAATATATTAAAATAACAGTCAGTCTTAGTCCATTCATAATATAGATAGATAGATAAATAGATATTATGAAATGGACTAAGTCCGATAATCATTTTAAAAAATAATATATAAACAGAAAATATATTAAAATAATTGTCGGACTTAGTCCATTTCATAATATGTCATTTATTTACGTTAAGATACGCTTCGAGCAGATATGGACGTTCGAAGGAAATCATGGGAAGTTTGTAGTTTAAAAGCAGGAAATCGACTTTTCTAACCAGACGTTTCCTCTACAGCTAAATGGTATAGCACGTGAGGCTATATGACGGTCCTGTGTAGGATACAGGTTCGATTCCTGTCGGTAGACACATATTTCTATGAAATTTCTCGGACATTTAGGCTAGTAAATGTTGTTAATACTGTTTATTATAAACAGACCATTTACTTAAATATTTGTGTCTATATAAATAACGTATAACAATAATATATATATATATATATATATATATATATATATATATATATGTGGACTCTCTTGTTGTATTCGACGTATGAGGGTCAAGCAGCTCAGTTCCTAGGAACCGACAGTCAGACATCAGCACATATGATTTGATTATAATGGTGAAGGCTTTGTGCAGAACCATCAAACATTTTGAAGAGTTGAATACAGAGACCTGGTACCTCCGTACCACAAGGTCCCCAAAAGGACCACCCGCAGGTTTTGAATTCAGAGTTGTCCTTCTCAAATATATATATATATATATATATATATATATATATATATATATATATATATATATAAAAAATAACAGTCAGACTTAGTCCATTTATAATATAGATAGATAGATATTTTGAAATTGTCTAAGTCCTTAAATTATTTTTAAAAATAATATATAAACAGAAAATATATTAAAATAATTGTCGGTCTTAATCCATTTCATAATATGTCATTTATTTACGTTAAGATATGCTTCGTGCAGATATGGACGTTCGAAGGAAATCATGGGCAGTTTGTAGTTTTAAAGCAGTAAATCGACCTTGCTAAACAGACGCATCCTTCGAAGCTAAATTGGTATAGTACGTCATGTTATATGACAATTCCATGTCGCATATTTTCTGTGAAATTTCTTGGACGTTCAGGCCCTTAAATGTTGTTAATATTTGTTTATTATAAACAGAGCATTTACTTAAATATTTGTGTCTATATAAATAACGTATAAAAATAAAATATATTAAAATATATATAACTTAAAGAAAATGTAATTAAAAAATTTCCTTTCATTTATATTCTAGCGATAAACAGCAAGGACATCGGCTAAAACTGCTAACAACATTCACCGGTCTGAATGGCCGTGGAATTTCATAGAAAAGATGTGTCCTCCGACAGGAATCAAACCTATATCCTTTACGGTACTGTCATATATCCTTCATAGCTAAACTGGTATAGCAAGCCAGGCTATATGACGGTTCCGCGTAGGATATACGTTCGATTTCTGTCTGAAGAAGGCCGGAGCTTACAACGGCCGAAACGTTGTGAATATGGCAATGAAGATGAGGATAACAGTCCGAATAATGTAAATAATGCAAGTGATTCTTCTTTGGGTTTCATGTTTCCAGTACGTACGTTAAAGAAGCAATAATAAAAATGACTTTGGAGTCTCGGAAGGTCTCTATTGCTTTATTGGCTGTCTTTAAGCAAGCGGACTTCAAGTATGAATTTTCAATTTGAGATCGGCTAAGAGATTGGGTCGAATGTTGCGCGCCAGCTTCCGTTCCTCGACACACCCAAGATGTACTGCCAAGACAGATGATTTTAAGCGGACGTATGAGAAAAAAATGAAAGGTTGCCTTGCGATCTGACGTCTACAATTAGATTATCAGTTGCAACTCCAGCTGTCTGTCATGGTTCACTTTTACGAGCGGAGGACACAAAAGCATCAGTCATAAAAATAATCGAAGAGACATCGGGCAATGAAAATGGTTACAACACAAATTGGTAGACAGTTTGACAGACAGAGAGACACGCAAAGTACAGAATGGGCAACATTATCAAAGGGCGGGAGATGAATCAATTTGACAAGGTTCTGACAGCCTTCTTTATGGGACCTTACCATAGCGTGTCGATCAACAAATTTCTTTGCCAAACCAATTCAACAGAGGTCAGTTCGAGTCTTACTATTCGCTTTACGATTATAACCTTGACCCTGTAAAGAAGTGGGTGGGCCGACTAAGCCTAACAGTCAGACATAACAAGAGACATCAATCTTTCATATTTAACGTTACATTTATATCTTCCTCAATAATGTTTACCCTGAGGCCTAAGAGCCAC